CCCTACCCTACCCTACCCTACCCTACCCTACCCTACCCTACCCTACCCACTCTCCTTTTTCCTCCAACTAATTCCTCATTTTCTCCTCTCCCCTTTATCCTCCTTTCCCTCTTCCATTCTTTTTCCTATTCCCTCTTCTCTCCCCTCTTCTGTCTCCTTTTCTATTGATGATATTAAAAAATGTTCAAGAGTTTGGCATTCAGTTTAGATCTGTCCTCTTACTAGCTTTGAAATAAGCACTCCTTTCCTTTGGACAGCAAATACATTATACGTTTTGAGTTCTTCACTGATACGATTTGACAAATAAGCAACACCTGGGACAAAAGATCAGTCTGTGATCACGTATAACCCTGAAAGCTTAATGCAAGGAAGGAACCAGGGACCCTGCCAATGTAAGGCCATCAAGGCCTGAAACATAACCACCCAGAGCAAGAATGTCTTCTGTGTACAAGAGAGCCATTGCGGCCTTCATGTTAGTAGTGTGGCCTCAATGAGAAAGGGAATGACTTACTCCTATCAGATCTTTACCAGAGGTTGGTAAATGCTAGACAAATCCTACACTCAGAAAGGTGCAATAATGACAAACAGACATATTTCAACCAGAGGTAAGCCTGCAGATTGATAATGTGCAAGAAAGCCAATAATTGGCAGGCCCTGTGCGCGGCACAGCGTGGAGGCGATCCTGGCAGCTGCCGGCTGTGTGGTGGCAGAAGTCTTGAAATTGCTCTGAAGGTGAGGACATCCCCTCCCCCACCTGCAGTCACCACCACCACCACCACCACCGCCGCCGCCGCTGCCACCGCCGCCGCCCACATTGTTCTCACCAGCCCCTCCCCATCAGTGCCTCCGCTTACATCGCCCAGCCTGAGTCAGTCTCCTGCTTCACTTGGTGTAAATGACTGATAAGCAGATCAGCCTGCCAGCCAAGCTCATCAATGGTGGCATCGCTGGGCTAATCGGGGTCACCTGCGTGTTCCCCATCGACCTGGCTAAGACACGGCTGCAGAACCAGCAAAATGGCCAGCGCATGTATGCCAGCATGTCTGACTGCCTCATCAAGACCATCCGCTCTGAGGGCTACTTCGGCATGTACAGGGGAGCAGCAGTAAACCTGACCCTGATCACCCCCGAGAAGGCCATCAAGCTGGCAGCTAATGACTTCTTCAGACATCAGCTCTCCAAGGATGGACAGAAGCTGACCCTGCCTAACGAGATGTTGGCAGGCTGCGGGGCGGGCACCTGCCAGGTGATTGTGACGACCCCCATGGAGATGCTGAAGATCCAGTTGCAAGATGCAGGCCGCATTGCTGCTCAGAGGAAGATTCTGGCTGCCCAGTCTCAGCTCTCGGCTCAGGGAGGTGCCCACCCCTCAGTAGAGGCTCCAGCCGCTCCTCGGCCCACAGCCACCCAGCTGACCCGGAAGCTGCTGCGGACCCATGGCATTGCTGGCCTCTACAAGGGACTGGGGGCCACGCTGCTCAGGGATGTCCCCTTTTCTATCGTCTACTTCCCCCTGTTTGCCAACCTCAATCAGCTGGGCCGCCCATCTTCCGAGGAGAAGTCACCTTTCTATGTGTCCTTCCTGGCAGGCTGCGTGGCTGGAAGCGCAGCCGCTGTGGCTGTCAACCCCTGTGATGTGGTGAAGACTCGGCTTCAGTCACTTCAGCGGGGTGTCAATGAGGACACTTACTCCGGGTTTCTGGACTGTGCCAGAAAGATCTGGAGACATGAGGGGCCCTCAGCCTTCCTGAAAGGTGCCTACTGCCGTGCGCTGGTCATCGCCCCACTGTTTGGCATTGCTCAGGTGGTCTACTTTTTGGGCATCGCTGAGTCCCTGCTGGGGCTGCTGCAAGAACCCCAGGCCTGAGCCTGTGGCTGCGTCTCCCCGGCCTATGAGCTGGGGCCAGAACAGGGTGACCAGCACAAGCCTGAGGAATGGTCTTTCCCCAGTCCTCCCCATCAAACAGGAAGGCAAGGGGAGGGTGCAGGGTCCACATGGGTTGTGCACACGTAGGCCCCCACGGGGTCCTGAAGGGAAAAAAAAATTGGGATCAATGTCTTATTTATGGAGAAACTGCAGAAATCTATACATTCCTCAAGCCAGTCCTGGCGAGCCAGTCTCGTCCCAACCCTGTACCTCAACCCAGCCCCGCCTGGCCTGAACACCTCCTGAAACAGAGCTGGTCTCTGGGCTGGGGCCCCAGGCCTGGTCTGGGCAGGTAGACCCTACCTTGTAGTCCACTGGCTCCGGTCTCTGAGGCTCTCCTCATCTACAAAGGGGACCCACACACACACACAAAATTATTTATTGAATTTGCTATGCCCATGTGGCTCTTCCTGTCCTCCGTCCATCAGTCTTTTTGCCCCTGCTTCTCTTTCCACCTCATCCAGGGCCCCGCTCTGCCTCCCCAGCCAGCCTCACAGAAAGGCTTGGAGTACCCTAATCATGTCAAGCTAGGATTCCAGGCTGGTTGTCAGTCAGCCACATTCGTTCTCATCCCAGGCACCCCACACATACTCTTCCTGGTGAGCCTTTGGGCCCCCACCACGTGGGACCCAGATTGCTTGAGGTCTTTGTGTGCCTGTGGTGGGCAGCTTGCTCTCCCCACCTCCCAGCAGTCAGCTGGCCAGGCTCCGTGGGGATGGGCCCATAAGGGCACAGTTGCCTTTCTCCTGTGCCTGTGTGCTCTGTGTGCCTCAGGCCTTCTGCTGACCCCATCCAATACATTAGTTCTCCAGCCTGGTAACTCTTACTGATAAAACCCTATTCCTGGACAGAGGTGGCTGTGGGGGAAGGGCAGGCATGAAGGCCAGTATGGGCCACCCTGCTCTCTGGGCCTCGGTCCATATTTGGAAAGCCCCACCCTTCCAGCCCTGGATCCTCTGTTCTGAATCAAAGCAGTCCTCCCCTGCCCTGGCCATGTGATTGACTGAAGTGCTGGTGCTGTGTCCCTCAAGCCCAACCCCCTCCATGGAGGCCCCTTCCCTGTGACACTACCTGGGGCTCACGTCTGGGCGCCACTAGTTCACGGTTGCTCCTGGGAGCCACCCCTCCTATCATGTCTGTACCTTGAAAGCTGCTGCTGCTGCTGCTTACAGAATTATATATTTTTTCTTTTGGAGAGTTTTAAGAAGTTGTAACTTTTTGTGTCTTGTCATGTAAAAGATAAATAAATATTCTAAGTAGAAAAAAAAAAAGAAAGCCAATAATTAGAAAACAAGGGAGAGGCAAAAAGATTTGCTTCTTTTGGGAGAAAATCAACATTTTCCCCCGTAGAAACAGTTACTTAGATTTATCATTTTCCAGAACTGGTGCTTTGTAGAAACTTTTGGAAAGGCTTTACTTTCATTGTGCTCTAAATTAACCTTGTACTGTGTGTGTGGCTGGCCTACTTACCGCGTCAGGTGGAATTTCTATTGTAGGTTTTGGTTTTAGACATTAAAAATTTGTTTTTAGACATTAAAATCCTTTTAACATATAGGTTATTATACTCTAATCATTTAAAACCTTCTCTGTATTGCATTGTGACCATATTCTGTCCCCTCTCTTATATTCTTCCAGACTTACCACCTCCCTACCAACCCAACTTCATGTTCTCTCTATATCTAACAAAGAAAACAGACAAGAAAACACCAATTGGTAACAACAACAAAAACACACAAAACAGAGTGTACTTTGTGTTGGTCAACTACCCATGAGCATATGGCCTACTACTAAGTGTGGTTGATATGCCCAATGACACTTCGTTGAAAAATAAAACTGATTTTCGCTTTCCCATTATGTATCAATTACGAACAGCTTCTAGGTTGGGGGTGGGACTTTGCCTGCTTCCACTTCTCTGGGCTGAGTCTTCCTCTGGCTTGAGTTTGGGCTGGTCTTCTGCATGTTGTCACATGTTCTTCTGTCATGTTCTTTGTGAGTTCATAGTGCATCAGTTGTGTTGTGTCTGGAAGATGCTGTTTCCTTGGAGTCATCCACTATCTTTATCTCTTATAGCCTTCTGCCTCCTCTTCCTCTTGAAGTTCTGATCCCTGAGACGAGGGGTTTGATAAAAATGTCCCATTTAGGTCCGAGTAGTCGAGGGTCTCTCTCTATACATTGTCCAATTGTTGGTCTCTCTGGAGCAAGAAGAAACTTCTCTGATGATGGTTGAGTGATGTAATGGCTTGGGTCCCAGCTGTGTGTAAGAAATGTTTACTTTTGAAGTAGAGATACAAGTTTTTCTTGGGAAGGTGCCAAATATAGAGGCAAGTATTTAATTCAGAACTACAAAATGATAGAATAAAATTTCAAGCAAGCAAGTTTGTTGAGTACCTGTACACAAATTTTATGTACTTAGTCCTGTTCAGTTTTGTTACTCCCTTTTCCTAAAATAACTTATAATCATAACAAACAATTGCAGCCTTTTCTTTTTTATTGAGTCTGATCTTTATTTGGAAAAAAAAATAAAATTAGAACCTCCATTACAAGCTAGTAATCATCTAAAGAGTCACCCTATATTATCTTAGTTATACATTATTTTTTTGTATCTACAATTTCATTGCTATTGTAACATGAAATGTTAAAATTTTTAAATATCACCAAAATTTAAATATTAAAACGTGAGAGTAAATGGATAGTCTATGGGGGATGGATTTTTCTTAAACAAGATGGTTATATCAGAAACAATAAAAGGAAAAACATAGTTCATTACTAAAAAATATAATTTTTATGGGAAAAGATGCCAAATGTGTACTAAAGAGAAGAATGACAGGTATGGTTCTCTCCTTCCACAATGTTGGGTCCTGGGATCAAACTCAGGTCCCAGTCTTGTGCTGCAGGTGACTTTATTCAATGGGCCAGCTCATTGGCCCACAGATCTTTACTTTTGTTTTCTGTTTTTAACACAAGGAATATTTTCCGCAATAATCAAGTGCGCAGGAATGGGCCAATATTTACACATAATTTTGGAATCAGACACAAGGAATCTTATTGACTTAAAAGAAAAAATGGAAAAGGAGATAAAAAACTTCAAATCATTTCCCACCTATTACAACAATGCATATATGTATGTGAGACATAAATAGTTAAGACATATATGACATATATGTGATTGACAAGCATCTTACATAAAATAAATTACATAATATTAGTTTTATGTGCACATTCTTCAGTTGTTCCACCAGTGCCATTTTGGTCGCCTCTTTGTCTGTATAAGTGTACTAAACTGAGCTCTCCATAGAGAGCCGCCCCTGACATTAGAATTTTATTGGCTAAGTTACCGATTTGTAGAAGTTGTTCTTATATAAGTAACACAATAACCTGATAGCAGCTCAAGCATAAACACAGAAGAAATACATTCACAAAAGTCCTGTGCCTCTGGGTATCATGGGGAATATTCTTTTTTAAAAAATTCATTTCGTTTTTTATTAATTACAGTTTATTCACTTTGTATCCCAGCTATAGTCCCCTCTCTCATCCCCTCCCAGTCCCACCTCCCTCCTTCTCCTATGCTTCTCCACAAGTCCACTGATAGGGGAGGTCCTCCTCCCATTCCCTCTGACCCTAGCCTATCAGGCCTCATCAGGACTGGCTGCATTGTCTTCCTCTGTGGGCTGCATTGTCTTCCAGTGTTTCCGATGAATTAGCATATCCACTGATTTTTGGGGTTGCTGGTGAAGCCATGATGTCCTGATTTTTGTTGGATGTGTTCTTACACCGACCTCTAGTTATCTGCTTATCTGTGACCTTCGCTGTTTGTTCCCTGAGTCTGTCCTGCAGACTGGGGTCAGTCTGTCTCTGGTGTCTGCAGTATTCTTCAGGAGGATGAGAGAGCTCCACTGGTTCAAGAGTGGACGATGTTGGTGCTTCAGCTGTGCTCAGGGAGGAAGGCAGGCGCATGTGTGCAAGCGCAGGCGTGTGCATGAACGTGTGCCTTGAAGGACAGGGTACTAGAGCACCCTTGGAAACGTGGAGCTTAAGTGCAGGAAGGGTGCTGGCACTGTTCATGCCTCCCCCCCAGTGCCCAGCAGGTGCCCTGAACACCTCAGTGGCCTACAGTCCCTTTGTACTGTCCTCCTAGTATAAAGATCTGTCTGGGCTCCAGGAATTGTTTGGCTGGACTCCACTGGGAGACCCACAGAGCAGGGGCTTCAATGTTGAGAATGTTGTCCCAAATACCCATAAGTTGCCCATAGGGTGGGGGGGCAGGTAGGTGTGCGATGTCTGTCTCCGAGCTTGGAGGGACCCTGGGTCTGGAGATCTGCAAGCACTCACTTGAAGGCGCCCTCACTCACTGCAGGCCTAATTGGAACCTCTGTTCTTTACTCTCAGATTTGGGCCTGCAGGGGCAAACGAGAGTGTGGGAGATCCATCAGCTCAGTGGTGTCCGCTGTTCGGCTGCTGGGCAGGGAGGCCCATACTTGGAGTAGTCGCCTCTGATGTCTCAGTCACCTAGAAAGGAGGCTCCTGCTTGGGGCAGCTGCCTCTGCTGAGGTCCGCACAGCTGTCCACCACAGCAGTAGACCTGGAGGCTCCGTACTGCCGCTGCCTCTGCCGTTTTGGTCACCGAGCACAGAGGATCCTGCTTGGGACAACTAGTGCTGCCTCTGCTGAGCAGGGAAGCCCATGACTGGGGCCAGGGAAAGTGCAGGGGTGTTGAATATTGGCCACTCTCAGTCCCCAGTGACGTCCACTGGTAACCTGGATCCAGAATGTCCCAGCTCACAGGTTGTCCCTCTCGCCCAGGAAGCCTCAGTGTCAATGTTCTGGCTTCAGCTGCCCTTCCACTCCTCAATTTCAGAGTTTCAGATCCTGTGCCCCTCAGAAATGGTGTGTGCTGTTCGCCACCATCTTGCACTCCCCAACTGTATCCTTCTTGATCCATTAACCCCTAGGTGAAAAGCTGCTACTTACACCCTTTTCACGGTAGCCTCAGAA